CTAAAGAACTATCAAGTGCTATCCATTACCAACCATCAATGGCCAGCTACCCAGGATATATTTCAGTTCAGAATTCTGCTCTTTTGACGGTCTTAGAAAATGGATAGCAAGGGTAGAAAAAGGTGGATGAAGCACACCTGGGCACTGATCCTGCAATCGAAATATTGGAGCGGGGGGGTGGGGGTGGGGAATTATCCAAGATGCTGTAGCAATGGCAGTTCACTTTGCCGAGGGAGCTTGGCAAATATCTGTGGGCACAGTCCCATTCAGCAGAAAGGGCCTTTTGTCATCCCAGATCTCAAGGACGGAGGTCGTCAGCTTGAAGACTTGTAGACTTCAACTCCCAGAATTCCTCAGCCAGGCCATTTTAAATCCACCGGTCTTTGGAGTTCAGAGACTCTCGGAAGCTACAGCGCATTGGCTTGGTTGACAGCAAGTGAGGATGTTCGTTCTAGGTTATTATGTGTTTGATAAGCATGTTGGCTAACCCTAATCCTTAGATGGTGGCACAGTGGTTAGAATGCAGTATTGCAGGCTACAACTGTGTGAAAAAGTCCTGCTTTTTATGACATTTTTTGGATAGGCCATTGATTTTATGATATTTTATGCTAACTGCTATGCAAATATTGTTATATTTAAATAAATACTGGTGGTTTTTAAGTGAAAAGCATAAGCTTTTTGCAATTTGGTGCTGTTTGGATGGGGACTGTGAATTTTCTTTTTCTTTGTAAAAGTTTTATTGGGTTTTAACAAAAAGTTATCACATCTCCATACAGACATAATCTCAAATACATATTCATCTTATATCTTCAGTTTCATACCTTATCACTCTTTTTTCAATTTCTCAATATTTTTTTCCTCACTTCCCTTAATCTTCTTTTATTATTATCTCATTTCTTTCTAATTCAATTCCATTTCTTTTCCTAGATTTCTATATCTTTCTATTCATTAAACTTATACTTTTGTCTGGCCTGTTTACAATTTAATATATTCTCTTCCATCATCATCCCGAAAGAGGGGGGAAAAATTAATTCCCTCCCCTTCCAGACACTGAAAAGCAAGATTCCCCCTATAATTGCCAATTAGAGTGTAGCACCTTTGAATCTTACAATTATTGTCATGTAAAATCTCATTAAACATTTAATTTATACATTATGGAATTATAACATTCAATTTCTTTCTTTTTTCCCCCCAATTTCTAACGGGATAGAAGCATTCCTGTCAAACAGACAACAAATGGTCAAAATTGAGAGCATCCTATCAAATTCTGTACCTGTCAACAGTGGTGTCCCCCAAGGCAGTGTTCTAGGACCAACTCTTTTCATACTCTACATAAATGACCTCTGTGATCATATCAAGAGCAACTGCGTTCTCTTCGCTGATGATGTATTCAAGCTATTCAACACCACAGACAATACTACTACCCTTCAAAAAGACCTTGACTATGTATCAGAATGGTCAAAGAAATGGCAACTTCAAATCTCAACAAATAAATGCTCTGTCTTACATATTGGCAAAAAAAACCAGAAAATAAAATACAGGCTGAATAGTCAAGACCTTGTTGATGATCCAAACTCTGTCAAGGATCTTGGAGTACTCATCTCTAATGATCTAAGTGCTAGAATCCACTAATTGCCAGACGCAGGGCAAGGCCAAATTTGCCAGACGCAGGGCAAGGCCAAATTTGACACAGAGACAAACAGAACTTATCAAAGCTTGAACCGACCAGATGAACTAATTGCTTCCTGCAAAAGCTCACGTCCCGTTTGCTCCTCTTTTATGTCCTATGGGAGGGGCCAATCACCTCCAAGGTGTGGCCTTACTCCTGAGTTGACCCTGCTTTCTCAATTGTTCTTGTCTTCTGGTAGCTTTGTGTATGCGCAGGCTGGGAACCGGTTCCATAAGCTCCCCCGCCTCACTGCTGTCTGAACCCGAAGGCATCTGCTGACTGACAGCCTGCCCTGGCCCCATCTCTGCCTCCGATGCAGAGCCCTCGTCTGAGCCTTCCTCAGCCTCCAAGACTGGCCCAGGTTCCTCCCCAACCTCCTCACTACTGTCCGAATTTGCTGCCAGCTCCGCCAGCGGGCCACAACGCCATCCTTCCTAAGTCGGTAAAATGCAGACCCAGACTGTTGGGGAGGGCAAGATGCTGTCTCTGTAAACTGCTTGGAGAGGGCTGTAAAGCGGTAGATAAGTCTAAGTGCTAGTGCTAATCCTGCAAAGGAAGTCACGTGTCCATAGAACCAATGATCACCTGGCTCTTACCCGATATAACACCGAGCCTCGGCTGATGAGTTCTTGCCTCTGCAGGTTTGCCTCGACATACTCAGGATGGGCCAAAATAACAGTCAGCCAGATGTTGTCGAGGGAATTTTCCTCAGTCGTTTCTCCCACTAGGCAAAAGAGCACAACGGCTGAGGATGGGTGTGTGCATGCGCGCGCGCACACACACACACACACACAGACACTCAAGTAAACAGCCTCGGACCACACCAAAAGCAAAGGGAAATATAGAAAGTGGTCCCTGGCCCAGTGGTTGGCAACCACTGGACTAGACTGTGTAGGGAGGAGAATGTTCTTGCTTTACAACCATTCCTTTTGTGACTGTTCAAAATTACAACAGCACCGAAAAAAGGGACGTGGGGGAATTTTTCACACACCATTGCAGCATCCCCGTGGTCATGTGATCAAAAATTCAGACACTTGGAAACTGACTTCTATTTATGATGGTCGCAGAGACACAGACACACTCACATTCACACAAACACATACTCCCCTACCCCAATTAACTAAGGTGAAATGAACCAAGTTTTGCACAATCCATAAATGAAGACTCTTACGTCTTCCACTGACCCAGCTAAGCAGCTAGTAGGTCCAGCTAAACAAAAATAAAGGTAATGAATTCATCATCACAGCAAAGTTAAAACATGGACTGCCTTCTTGGAACATACCAACAATTATAATTTGTTTTTTTAATGTGACTTTTAATCTTGTGTTTAAGTCTTGTTAGCTGCCCTGAGTCATGAATTTGAGAAGAGAATTCTTATAAATTGA